CCAAACACTTCGACAACAAAGAGCAAATCAAACTGAGTGTCTGAAGCTTCATAAGACAAATTTTCTCTAACAAAGTTCTAATCATTTGTTCTGACCTGATATTTAAATATTTGAAATAGAGATAAATGTGGAGGTGCACTTACTTTTTCCACGTGCAAAAGTTGCATTTATGTTTATTTAAATTACACAATGGACTACAAAATATAAATGCTGCCTGATATTTGTTATAACCCTTTTATCTATCAATATTATTGAAATGAAGATCAGACACCTACATGTTGAAATATGTAGAAAAGGTCAAAAATTGCAATGGGGTGTACTCAGAGGTGGGCTGCTGCCGGTTTGGACTGGTTCGGGCGAACTCGTAGTTCTGACCAGTGGCTGGGCCCTCTCAGCTGCCCCGGCGCTATCCCATCCTATATAATCGCCATGTGTTTAAAACCCCGTCGCGCACGCTCACATTTTTGGTTCTGGCGAACCGGTTGTTACATTATGTGACGCCCACCTCTGGGTGTACTTACTTTTTCACATGATTATATGCTTTGAGAAAAACAACAGTATGAAATGCATTAGTGTCTAAATAAATTAAATACTATCAATTTAAGGCACATAGAAAGCATTTCTCTCCCTTTGTCTTAAAAGAGGGTAGCATTCTGTAGTTTGCTAGTGTTTCACATTCAAGCATATTCTCCTCCCCCTCCTCGTTTCTTCAGATTAACTTTCCACAATAACAAAGCTCAATGTGTCAATTTGGGAGAATATAATTCCCAACATGATGGTACATTCCACAGCAGTCTGCCTAGTCCAATCCTCTGTGCTGCTGTATAGTGCCAATAGTGTACAAACAGAGGCACAATGGATCCATACTTGTACAAAGAGATAACACGTCCCTTGTTTTGGTTTCAGATAGAATGGTGTATCCTCTGCCATGGCACTACAGCAATTACCAATATAAAGTTCTTTCCCCAAATTTTAGTGTGATTCAATCAAAACTGAATTTGCAAGATAAAATCAAGTAGGGGGCAGGGAAAGGCTGAAGAAACCTCCAAAACGAGTAACTATATGAAGATCTTTTTGCCTGTTCATAAACCAGAATGTCTGAGTTCACACAGCAGCACTAAACACCAAACCTATACAATCCATATTATTGTGGTATATGACCCATGACACAGGCACTAAAACACAAAGTAACATACAAATGAGGTTATGGATTCATGTCCACATATGTATATAAAACAAAGGACCCTCATGGCTAAGAAACCAGAATGATACATAAACACCCAAACTATATATATCAGTGATGGCTAACCTTTTCCGGACCAAGTGTCCAAAGCGCACGCTGCGCACCCGAACCCACAAAATGCAATGTGCATATGACCCCATGCATGTGCCCCCTGCATGTGTGCATGGCCCCCCGCATGTGCCCTGCCCCCACGCATGCGTGCATGGCCCCCATATGCACCCTGCCCCCACACATGTGCACCCCGCATGCACCCCACTCCCTGCACATGCGTGACAGAGACCCGAAGACCAGTTGGCCAGTGGGAGGTGCACGTGCATGCATGGCAGAGCTGAGTTGGGGTGACAGCTCACGTGCCCACAGAGAGGGCGTTGCATGCCACCTCTGGCACATGTGCCATAGGTATGCCATCATAGATATAACAGATATGCTAAGAATATCATTTGCAATAGTTGTGGTAAGTTGGGCAAGAATCATTATTTTCCAAACTTTGTAAATTTTTATAACAAGTTTTACTGAAGTTTAAAAATATTAAGATAAATAACTAATGCAAACTAGTTGAGTTTGCATTAGTTATTGAGTGAGGGTGTCTTGCCATCCGCCTTGAAAGAGGCCGTGGTGAGGCCCCTCCTCAAGAAGCCTGCTCTGGATCCGGCTGTTTTGGCTAACTACCGTCCGGTCTCCAACCTTCCCTTCTTGGCGAAGGTTGTTGAGAGTGTGGTGGCGCAACAGGTTCCTGGGTACCTGGATGAAGCTGTCTATCTGGATCCGCTCCAGTCCGGCTTCAGGCCTGGGCACAGCACAGAAACGGCATTGGTCACGTTGGTGGATGATCTCTGGAGGGCTCGGGATAGGGGTTGCTCCTCTATCCTAGTCCTGTTAGATCTCTCAGCAGCTTTTGATACCATCGACCATGGTATCCTGCTGCGCCGATTGGAGGGGTTGGGAGTGGGGGACACCGTTTTGCAGTGGTTCTCCTCTTATCTCTCTGACCGGTTGCAGTCGGTGTTGGCAGGGGGGCAGAGGTCGACCCCGAGGCGCCTTGTTTGTGGGGTGCCGCAGGGGTCGGTCCTCTCGCCCCTTCTGTTCAACATTTATGTGAAGCCGCTGGGTGAGATCATCCGTGGCTTTGGGGTGGAGTTCCATCAGTACGCTGATGATACTCAGCTGTACATCTCCACACCAGGCCATCCCAACGATGCCCTTGAAGTGATGTCCCAGTGCCTGGAGGCCATGCGGACCTGGATGGGGAGTAACAGGCTTCGACTCAACCCTTCCAAGACTGAGTGGCTGTGGCTTCCGGCGTCCCGATATAGCCAGCTGGTGCCATCGCTGGCTATTGGGGGCGAGTTATTGGCCCCCACGGATAGGGCTCGCAACTTGGGTGTCCTCTTGGATGCACGGCTGTCTTTAGAAGAGCATATGACGGCCGTGGCCAGGGGGGCTTTTTATCAGGTTCGCCTGATTCGCCAGTTGCGTCCCTTTCTGGATCAGGACTCCTTACGCATAGTCACTCAGGCATTCGTCACTTCCCGCCTGGACTACTGCAATGATCTCTACATGGGGCTCCCCTTGAGGAGCACCCGGAGGCTCCAACTGGTGCAGAATGCGGCCGCGTGGGGGATTATGGGAGCGAGAGGGCGCTCCCATGTGACACCTCTCCGGTGTGAGCTGCATTGGCTTCCAGTGGTCTTCCAGGTGCGCTTCAAGGTGTTGGTCACCACCTTTAAAGCGCTCCATGGCATGGGACCTGGGTATTTGCGGGACCGCCTTCTGCCGCCGATAGCCTCCCACCGACCAGTACGCTCCCACAGAGAGGGATTCCTCAGGGTGCCATCAGCCAGGCAATGTTGGCTGGTGACCCCCCGGGGGAGGGCCTTCTCTGTGGCAACTCCTGCCCTCTGGAATGATTTGCCCCCGGAGATACGAAGGATATCGGATCTTCGGGTTTTTCACCGTGCCCTAAAAACTTTTATTTTCCATCAAGCAGGGCTGGTGTGAACCCCCCCCCCCCTTTTTAGCCTTTTTTAGCCTTTTAAATTGTCAAATGGATTTTAGTTTCAATCTTTTAAATTTTGGGCCACAGTTATATAATTCTTTTAAAAATTTTAAATTTTGTATTGGTATGTGTTTTAGTTCTGGCTGTGCACCTCCCTGAGTCCACTAGGAGAAGGGCGGGATACAAATTGAATAAAAAATAAATAAATAATAAACTAAGAATATTCAGAAGTTACAGCTGGTGCAGAGTGTGGCAGCGTGGACAGTTTTGGGGCCCCTATAACACCACTGCTCCATGAGCTGCATTGTTTACCAGTCTGCCTCCGGGTGCAATTCAAAGTGTTGGTGATCACCTTTAAAGCTCTTTATGGCATGGGTCCAGGTTACTTGAGCGGCCCATACCACTCATGACAGCAGCAGAGGTATGCCGTGGGTCCCGTCAGCCCAATTATTCCAGCTAGCAGGGTCCAGGATGAGGACCTTCTCTGTTGTTGCTCCTGTCCTCTGGAAAATCTCTCCCCCCCCCCCCCCCCGATCTGATGTTGGTCCCAACCTTCCTATCTTTTCAAAAGGGCCTAAAGATCTGGCTCTGCCAGTTGGTTTGCAGCCCCAGTGGGGGAACAGCACAATGGAGGTGTTGATCGAGTAATAACAGATCACACCTAATCCCCCATTCTGCCCTGCCCTCCCCGTGTGTCCTTGGTTTTAATGTCTGATTTCAACTTTTTATGTTTTGTATATGTAATTGTAAGCTGCCCAGAGTTACCCTATGGTAAGATGGGTAGCAAATACATTTTAAAAATAAATAATAAATAAATAAAATATAAAATCTGGATTGAATAAACCAACATTGTAAACCATCTTTATGTTTTTAAAGATCAACGTTTACTTCTTTTAAGTAATGTTGGGGTTTTTTTCCCCATTTTCTCTTTATTTTTCTCAGGAACTCCTTCTTAAGCATCTCTTTTGTAAGGGCAAAATAAGAAAGTTGTCCAAGTCATTCCCCTGAGTTGAAATCCACAAATGCAAGTCTCACTTCTGTTTTGTTAGCCTGAAATTTATTATTTCACCTTTTTTTATTTAATTGGGATTATCAAAGGTCTGATTTTGAAAGACCACGGGAACAACATAAAACTATTCCAGCAATTAATCTCTTGAATTTGAGAGACTGAGGGCTGGGCCGCAAAAATGCTCAGTGAGACAGCTGGAGACATTGGCCCTCACGCCACCACCAATTTCAGCTTTCCTGACATAAAAGGTCATTTGAGTTCTAGTGTTCCAAATCCCTGAATCTGCCATAGTATCTTAATGGATTCAGTTGAGTAAGAATTTCAATGAAACCATGTAGGCCAATAAATCCAAGTTCACAGAAGGAAAGACTGTATTTTTAGCTAAGTGGGACTGTTCAAAATATATCAACAGGTTCAGTTTTCTCTGGCTAAAAATAAGTTATTAAACGGAGGGGGAAACATTACATTTCACCAAGAATTTTATGATAGGTGCCTGGTATTTCAACTCCTTTGAACATTTTGCTTATTATTTCAGTCCAGGCTTTTTAGAAAGAGGAAGTTCTCTCAGCTGTGCAAATAGTTACTGACTACTTAATCCCATTGAGCTGGATGGAAGGTCAACTATGCATGATGCTCAGCAAGGCATCTCCCCCTCCCCGCTCCCTTGGTAAAGGCAACTGCGATAGCAGAATATTCCAATACCAAAACATTTTACTTAATCCTAAAACAAACATGAACTGAGATTCTATTACCTTGCTATAGTTTTCAAGTCTTGATCAGCTTCTTGGATCTTCAAAGAATAGTCATCTGCAAGTTTATAAAATTCAGTAAGCACAGAAGCCTTCAGATCAGGATATGGGCACTCCAGCTCCAATAACTGTGGTGGAAGCTCAGGTACAAATGTGGTCCTTTCCTCTAAAGTAGATGCCAGGACCTAGAATAAAAATACATTGGAACTATCTGCCACATTCTTGCTAATCTAATTAAAATCATTTTTTAAAAAAACAAAGAACTTACTTCATCTATAAATTCTTCAAGCTCCTTTTCCAAAGTTATTCTCTCCAAATGAAGCTTTCCCAAAATTGCTTTCTGTTGTTTCTTCACAAACTCTACCTAGTTTTGAAAAAATTGTATTAATGACTTAAAGAACACTGAATGTTGTAAATGCAGTCCTGTGTATTGACAAAACAGCACATTGCTCATTGATTCATTCTATTTTTATCCTATCTCCTTTCAAAGAATTCATGTATAATGCAAAAAAGCTATCCCTTTCTGTGTTATCACAAGAATGCTATAAAGCAGGTCAAATTTAAAGTGTTAGCTGGTTGGAGTTCCAGGTTTGGCCTGAGTGGGAATTGGACCTGGGTTTATAACTCTAACTTTTCTGGTTCTTTCTTAATTATTTTATTAGTAAGACTGACATATATGAAAATACTAAATTTGCAAATGTAGTATGTCATCAAATCAGTCTCACTCTGAATCCAATACACTAAAGCGAAGTCCAAAGAAAAAAATGATTAGGATCAGACAAAATTTCCTAAAATAGATCAATACTTGATTCTATGAAAATCTCAAGATTAAGGCATGCAACCAGATGCACAGAGTAGTTTTCAGAGAACATTATGTGTATTCCTATTTTCATTCAAAATGGGAAGCATGTAGCATTGAGTATTTGGACTGAAAAATGTTATTCAATCTTTAGAAATTGCTCTATGAATGTACAGAATTATCACTCACAATTTTTATAGAATGCACATGTACTTATTTTGTATAGGTCAGACCAAGATTTTAACAAACAAGACAGATTGAATTATAGCATGTAGAGTTTGATTTTCCATGCAAAAAAGCTATGTAATTTGTTCACAGAAAAGCAAAGAATAAAAAGTTATTGCATGTATAGATTTATCTATACATCTAATTACTTCTAATTAGTCATAATTTCAGTCTATGTATTCTATAGTAAATCAATGGCCAGCCTTAACATTAACATCATCTAGATTATCCCTAAATATTTCTGTGCATTCTACCACAAAAGGTTTGTCTAATTTATATAAAAATCCAAAGCCTGTGTGTTTACAAATGCTGATTCACTATCTAAATTGATTTAGATTTGTGTTTTAGAAATGTGTTTTCAAAGTTGAAATGTTTTTGAAAAAAATGAGGAGATATAAATCAGGAAAGGTGTGAGAAAATATGTCCCATTTGTTAGCCAACATGACCAACAATAGGAGGGTTTATTTATTTGGAGGATCGCAAGATTTACCATCATTGATACAGAAAAAATATCATGGTATCCAATCTCAAATCTACAGGCAGTGAATGATGGTACCCCAAAGTACAATGCAAAAGATTATGTTCAATAGCATGCTATCTCTCAACATGGCTAACAGAAAACAAGATTAAAGTGTCAGAGAGAGAAAAGAAAGTTTTAAGAAGCTGGATTCTGAAATTAGTTCTATATCACATGTCATACCTTGATTGAACAGCATATTTCTTTAAGTGTGCAAATATAATGCAAATGCAATAATAGGACAGAAGATCATCCACAGTAAGATATAGAAAGAAAGACCATATGTAGAAGCACTGAATTACTAACCTCTTCTAATACAGCATCTGGATTAAACTGATATTCCACACTTTCGCAGTTGGTTTGCATTTCTAATAGTCTGAACCTTAAATCTTCCCTTAGCTGCCAGACAGGTTGCACTGTGTTTGCTTGAAATGTATCCAAGCCTTTTGTTAATTTATATCCTATTAAAAGTTAAATAGAAATTAGGGGTGTTGCTCGGTTAAAGAGCTAATTAATAAGAGTTTGTCAAATAATAGCTTCTATTATGGAAAAGGAAATTTACATTTTCTCTACTTGTCTCTGAAAAGAATAAGAAACCCAGGCTTCCCAGAAAAGAAAAGGGTTGAGCACAGTATAATATTCATAGTATGGTATGTATAGTACAGGTAGTCCTCAACTTACAACCCACAATTGAGCCCAAACTTTATGTTGTTAAGTGAGAAATTTGTTAAGTGAGTCTTGTCCCATATACGACTTTTCTTACCACATTTGTTAACTGAATCATTGCACGTTGATTAAATTATTAACAGGGTTGTTAAGTGAATCTGGTTTCCCCATTGATTTTGTCAGGTTACAGAAGGTGATCACATGACCCCAAGGCACTGAACTGTCATAAATGTGAATCAGTTGTCAAGCATCTAAATGTAAATCATGTGACCATGAGGATGCAGCAATGGGGATGCAGCAAGTGCGAAAAACAGTCATAAGTAATTTTTTCAGTGCTGTTGTAACTTCAAATGGTCACTAAGCGAACTGTTGTAAGTCAAGGACTTCCTGTATAGGGTGTAGGTCCTTTTCTGCTGTTGTATTATGGATGGCTATCGGAGAGAAAGGGCACAACAGTCCACAGAAAAAAGCAAAGATTGTTCACTCAATACTCATGTCAGCTGATACTGGATTAATTTCTAAGAGGAAAAGTTTCTTCTTAATGGAATTTAGATGAAAAACACAGAAATATGACATCTTTCATTCTTTACCCACTCTCATTCTTAATCCTTACATTCTTCCTGTCTCTCCTTTTTACCAGTAACTGCACAATTTATTTTTATCCAGAAATTGACAGATTACTTACGCAAATCCCACAAGTCAAAAAAACATTCATTTTCTTCATCAAAGAATGTTTGAATTTCAGATTCTAACTTCTGCCTGCAATTAAACATTTCAGGTCAGGTAAAATATACTCTTTCTTTTCTATTGTACCCAATTTGTGTGTGGGTGTGCGTGCACGCGCGCATGCACAGGTACACATTTTTGGGTCACTAGACATTTCTGAGTCTTACCCAATTCTTCCTTCATGTGGGAACTTTATTGGTAGTTAACCATAGTCAAAATAATCAGAATGGGCCTGAGGTCTGGGTGCAATCAAATCTATTTTTATTTCCCAAAAGAGTCTCCCCCCCCCCATTCTTCTGGTTCTATAGATTAACACCATAACTGTTTCAGGGTCATTTGAGGATTTTCTTATCTAAAAGAGCACTTTCCTTCAGACTCTGCACATGAAGTCTTGTCCATTGCATTTCCAAATTTTCAATTACTTTATTAAGATTTATCATGTCTTACCTGTTTTCATGCAATCTTTTGTGCTCTTTCCACCATACTTGCCGATGACGTTTCAGCAGCATGTGTTCCTTGTTAATTTTTGAAGCATGCTGTAATTTTTTAATCTGGGTACAAGATTTAAAGATACTTTATTAATAATAAATGTTGTATGCTTCTATGAAGAAATAGCTAACCTTGAACAGGATTTAAGTTTGATTGTCCTTGAAAGTCAATGGTTCATAAATATTTATTTAATATCTTCAACTGTCTTTCAAGATTGTGTCCTTGCCAAAGGGCCTCATTAATATCATAACATTCTAAAACACCTTAAATTTAAATAATTTTAAAAGAAAGTCAATGGTTCATATCTATTATTAAAAGGATGTCTGTTCAAGAAACCAAGATAATGTATATACTGACTATCTCTATTTCATTTTCTGGCAGCCACAAAATATGCCCAGTTGCAGAAAATAAGGAACTTAAACAAAATTATATATACCAAATATAGTATTGTTTTTAAGATTGCAGTTTTTATTCTAGATCAGTGATGGCTAACCTTTTTGCCATCGTGTGCCAAAAGTGGGGGCAGCACGGGGGGGGGGGTCGGGCATGTGCATGGGCACACCCATAATTCAATGCGCCCCAGCCACCATGCATGCACACGTGACCCCCCGTGCTCCCCCTGCTTTTGGCACACAATGGCACGATGGGCCTGGTAAGCCCCTTTTTTGGCCTCCCCAGGCTCAGAGGCTTTCTAGGACCCTGGGGAGGTTGAAAACAGCCTTCCCCACCCAACCCCGGAAACCCTCCAGAGGCCAGAAACAGCCCGTTTCCCAACTTCCGGTGGCCCGGAAGGCCCGAAAATTAGCTGGCCGGCATGTGCATGTGCGCTGGAGCTGAGCTAGGGCAACACTCGTGTGCCCACAGATATGGCTCCGCGTGCCACGTGTGGCACACGTGCCATAGGTTCGCCATCATGGTTCTAGATCAATGGATGCAAATCTTGCAAAAAACATAACAAAACACCCTAACAGCAGAATAGTAAATGCTATTGAATAAATGCTTTTGTAGTTGTATCTATTTTTATTTATTTATTTTCTATATTTTATTTATTCTATATAGAAATGAAACAATTTCTATATAGAATAAATGCAATGCAATTTATTGCAATTAACTGATAGTTATGAGGTCACAGGTTAGATAGAAGTTATAGCTCCACTCTGTCATTTTCTGACTTGCAGTTATGCAATTAGCTTTTTTCATTAAATTAGATTAACTTAAAAATGTTGGAGAATCAAAAAAAAAAATTTTTTTTTTATATGAAAGAAACCTGATTCTTGTGCTTAAAAACTAGTAGGCTAACCCTAAGCTCTTACTTTTAGGCAGAATGCACACATCATATGAAGTCATGGTTTGATTTAATATGCTGTAGTTGAACTATGGAGATATATTTTGTACAACACATAAAGTCATAAACTGAGGTTTATTAACCACAAAAGCTGATCCATGTATCACACTAAACCAAAAGAGATTAACTATTGGCTAGGTCAATATGTTAAATCAAGCATTCCATCTACACATTACTAATGTGTGATTTTGGTGGTACTTTATGCAAAATAAAAGTCTGGCTTATATATTACTACATTTCCATATGACTGAATGGAACTTCTAATATAATCATAGAATTTTGCCAAAGTCTTTCATCAGGTATTTAAATCTGAACCATTTCTTTATGACCGAAGGGAAAATATAGGCAATGTGATCCAAAGAACAACAGCAGAAACTTTCAATTTTATTTATCATTAAAATTCCATTTTCTCCATAATAAACTTTGAATACTATTGTCATGGGTTCGTTTTGAATGGTAGAGCTACAAACAGGATGAATAGGAATATGGTTCACTCTTGCACAGTTACTGGTACATTTATTTCTTAACAGGTAAAGAACTAAACTGTTGCAATATTTTCAGGATCAGACTCAATAAAGATAATAGGAGTTAAAGCTTTAAATATATTTCTTTTTAATTATGATAGGCATTCTATATTCACTGAATATTCAAGGTAGAAGCAACGAGAATGGTGAGGGTGGCTCCTTATATATACAAGGGGTGGAGCTAGGAATGGGAGTGGTAAGTTATGAATACATTAAAGTCCAAAGAATAAGTTAACCTCTGATGTTCCATATATACATTATTTACACATTGGAGAATAAGGCATTTACATCTGACAAATCCCCCTCTAAATGCCGGTTCGTTACACAACACCAATTACATTCTGATTCAGGACAATATAATACATATAATTTAGAAGTTAAATATTTGTGTTGTTTAGAAGGTAAGGGTTTTGTTAATATGTCAGCTAATTGTTCAGAAGTATCGCAATGTATTGCTTTAATGAATCCGTCTTGAGACAGTTGTCTCACATGCTTAAACTTTATATCAATATGCCTGGACCTTTGTCCAATTGCATCGGATCTGGATATTTCAATGGCCGCTTTATTGTCTTCATGCATAATAAATGGTAAGGTGGGTTTCTTCCAAACATCAGTGATCAGATCATTGAACCATACAAGGTTATTTGCAGCTTTGGACAAACAAACATATTCCGCTTCTGTAGTAGAAGTGGCTACTAGTTCTTGTTTACCAGTATACCAGTAAACTGGACAATCATTCAATAGAAAAACATAACCAGAAGTACTCTTTCTGCATGATGTATCACCAGCCCAATCTGCATCAGCATAACAAGTAATTTTTGGTTCTCTGTCATTATTGGGTTCCAACATTAAACAAAAATCTAATGTACCCTTCAGATATCTTAGAATTCTTTTGACAGCTTCCCAATGATACAAGGTTGGTTTACTAACATATCTTGACAATAGATTGAGAGGTAATGCAATATCTGGCCTAGTCCAATTAGATATATAAAGGAGTGAACCTATAACTGATCTGTAAAATGTGTTGTCTTTAAACTCAGGGGAAGATTCATCAGTGTTTCTAAGAAAATCAGTTTGCATAGGGGTGTCACAGGTTTTAGCATTATTTAAGTTACATTTGTTTAGGAGTTCGATGATTTTATCTTTCTGTGTAAGTTTGAATCCCCTTTTAGTTTTGTTAATTTGCACACCAAGGTATTTATTCACTTTACCCAGAGATTTCAGTGAGAAGTGTTCATTTAACTTATTTACAAAGATTTCCTTGCTCTCTTTATGCTTTCCAATGTATAAAATATCGTCCACGTAAATTAATACAAATTCAATATGATCATTACTCTTTTTTACAAAGAAACAGTTATCAGCAGTGGTGGCGTTGAAATCCATGGTCTTAAGTACTTTTACCAAGCAATCGTACCATCTTTTGCCGGATTGCTTTAATCCGTACAGACTCTTATTTAATAACCAAATTTCGTTCTTATTAGTGTATTGACTGTGTGGTGCTCTTACATATATTTCCTTATCTAATTTTGCATGTAAGTATGCGGTCTGTATGTCATATTGGAATACGTCCAGATTGAGTGCAGATGCTACTACAAGGGCTGTTTTGACACTCTCTGTTCTCACTGTGGGTGAATATGTATCAGTATAGTCTTCTGGATATTTTTGTGCATAGCCTTGTGCAACTAGTCTAGCCTTGTATAAGGTATTGCCTCCTTCTAAGTTCTTAATTTTATAAATCCACCTGGTACCTATAATTGTTTTATCCTTAGGTGCGATCGCAGGTGTGAATACATTTAATCCTTGTAAACTTTCCATCTCTTTTTCCATAGCTAGTTCCCATTTTTCTCTTTCTTCATGTGGAAGTTTCAATACTTCTTCATATGTATTAGGTGTTATTTGTTCTCCATTCATATGCATTATGTAATCTTTGTATTTATTTGGTATTTGGTTTCTATTGTTTCTAATAGTTCTTTCAGGCTTGCTATGGTTATCATGCAAATATCTAGCTTCCTTTTTTGTTAATGTGTCTGTCTTTATTTTATGCTGACTATTAGTCCAAGTTTTGGTTTTGTTCTTACTTTTGTTAATATTTTGATTTTCTGTTGTTCCTTCCTCGCAAGATATCGTATCTTTACATTTATTAGGAAATATTTCATTAAGGTGCAATTTTGACCAATTGGCCTGTTCATGGAACACAGCTGTTCTGGATACTATAAATTTGTTATTACTATCAATAAATCTGTACCCTTTGGTTCCAGTTTCGTATCCCATGAATCTTAATCTCCTGGATACGTTTTCTCCCTTTCTCCTCAATTGTTTAGGTATGTGTACGTCTGCAGTGACTCCAAATATGTGCATGTGTGATAATTTGGGTTTTCTATTGTACATCACCTCATATGGTGTCTTATTCACAATACTGGACCAGGTTCTATTTTGAGTGTAATTCGAATAATGTAATGCCTCTGACCAAAATTGTTTGCCTAAACCAGCATCCTCTAATGTGCACCTAATCATGGTTTGTAGTGTGGAATTTTTCCTCTCTGCAACTCCATTTTGAAATGCAGAAAAAGGATTGGACGTGAAATGTAACATTCCTCTATCCTTTAACCATTGGGAGAATTCTTTAGACATGAACTCACATCCCCTATCTGTCATAATTTGCTTTATTCTGATATTATGTTGTGTTTCTATACGTTTGTAGAATTCCTTAAATTTCTGAAATGTTTCATCCTTGTGCTTTAATGTGTAAACAAAACCATATCGGCTGTAGTCATCCACTATAGTTAGGAAGTAACGTTTTCTATAGGTAATTGAGGGACTTAATGGACCAACTAAGTCCATATGTACCAAATCAAAAATATTGTTAGTTGATCTGTTAGATTTTTTTGGTCTGGGACTGGTTTTTAGTTTGGTGGACTTACATACTGAGCATTCCAAATAATTTTCACAATTTTTTATTTTGACACCTTCTGCGTGTTCAGTCATTTTTTGTACTACAGGAAAGCTTGCATGTCCTAACTTCCTGTGTAAGATGTGAGCACACTCATCATGAATTGGTTTACCTATTTTTGGTTTCTTTTCCTTGTATGTATTTTTGTGATCATGAGTTATTCTACACTTATCATTGTCACTGTTACTGACATTTTCATCATCTGCTTCAATACAATCTTCCATATTTGAATCAATGTTATGT